GTTGGCTATTTTATCAGGCTAAAAATGTGCATGTTTGCAATAGGTGCCCAATGACTACCAACTGGATTGCACAGGTAGTTATCTACACCTACTAGCCGGCTATCTAATAAGGAGGGGACGACAGGTAGCCACTTATTAGTGCTGCAAATATACCAGAAAAAAAAATCATGTGGAAAATATTCTTAGCAAAATAGTACTTGCGAAGTTTAGATATGAAATATCTTTATACAGTTATTCACCTTTTGTCCGAAGCAAGAAGCAGACTGAATCTGAGACAGTGACCAATTGAAAACCAATTACTGATCAGCGTGTAACGTTTAAAAACACGTCACCTCAATGGGTTGTGCAAATGAGCCTGTGATACAGTCAGGTGACACTGGTCACCGGATACCTTTCGCGCGCGAGAGATCTATTTAAAAGTGCTACTCACAGTCCATGTCCTTAGTTTCAACTTTTTCCTTGTCGCAAGTGGTTTGTAATCCTGAACAACCTCCTTGCTGCTCTGTGATGTTCTCATTCTGTTTTGTGAGTGTTTTCTTTCTTTTCATGCCACGGCCACAAGAGATCGACCACGAGGACCACAAACTGTAGTCGCAAGTCACGTACTTACACTTGAAAACTATACCAAATTAATAGAGAACTTTCATCAACTTTTAATTACTTTTTGAAAAATGAAAGCGCTGAAAACTCGGACAAAATTCCATTTAGTTTCTAAAACCAACGAGTATAATTTTGGTGTTATCCTAACTACCTTGGTAAAGGGTACGGGGGAAACGGTCACTCATTAAATTGCCTTAAATTATAACCTGCTTCAGTTGCATAAACCAGTAACTGTTAACGATATAGAGTGTTTTCACTCACGTGGCCAGCATCTCTGCAAATTTTTTGGAACAAAAGGAAGCGTTTACATAAGAAAGGAGTTCAACTCCCACAGGACTGGTTTGGGACACCAACATGGCCGCCGTTTCATTGTTTTGGGACACCAATATGGCCGCCGTGACGTCATGTGAAAACACTCTATAGTGTCCCGGCGTTTCTTTCGACGAAAGAAAAAAAAAAAGAGTTTAAAATCTGTTTGCAGGTTCAAAGCATCCGTGTTTTAGGGTGGATTTCTGTTTTCGCGTATTTTTTACGTGCGTGTGTACGTACGTAAAATTTTACTCTCGTAAATAAAATAGAAAAAAGGAATGTAGTGTTGCCCTTAAGAGATGACACTATTGCTTTTACGCGCGATCTTTCATACATTACCTCTCCTCTATTTTTGAAAGTAAATTTTACGAACGTACACGCACGTAAAAATCACGCGCCAGTGGAAATCCACCCTTAGACGTTTATATGCGTCGTGTTTACAAAATGCCGCTGAGCATTCCTTATTTAGTCTCTTAGTATTAGTTTGCGTAATTTAACTCTCACAGGTGGATGGTTTATTTACACAACAAAATGTGTTGAGCGAATTCGAAACGCAAAATGTATTTTGTTGATATCATCCTTTTCTAAACATCGTCAGCTAAACGTCACAGCAATGGCCATTTTTATTTTAGGGAAGTTAAAGTCGTCTTAAGGCGCCTTTAACGTCTAGTATAAAACGGTAAATAACACAGATGCATTAAACGTCTGACGACTTAAATGTCTTTTGTTAAGTGCGTCCGAACGACGCAGTTGACAGACGACTTAAACGTTTCAGACGTTAAATGCGTCTAAACGACTTTTAGGTCTCTAGCATAAAAACGGCCAATAACAGGGGCGATCCTAAGACTAATAATAACCTTTCCACATTAGTATTTCAGTGAGAATAACGAAGCGGTTAGAGCATTACTGATAGAGGCGTTCAGTTCTTACTTTGACATGAAGACTCTGCTAAGGTGTTCAACAGATTAGGTAACTCTGCCATATTACGAACAAAGAATAAATGGGAAGCTTTTGGGTCGGAGGCCATGAACTCCAGCTCATTACGGTTGAGGCTTTGTCCAACTCCCACGGAAAATATATTTACTTTACTGGATCGCAGCTCCTCAACTGGAGAGCGGAGAGACTTAATCCCACCATTGCTGGCTCCATCTGTTACGACTAGCAGTATCTGCAAATTAGAATAACCGTTACAACTAGTGACATTTGAAAATGACGCTGGATTGTGCGAGTAAAAGCACTTTTAAATATCATGAAAAAATACTCCTTACTTTTGGCGCAAAATTTCAGCATTAATTCATAATTTCACATGTGAAATTACAAGTTGCCTTGTCATTGTTTCCAAGAGTGCGTCGAGGTTTTGCAATGTTATATAAATAAAGAATTTAGGGCATTAAAAGACGCTTCAGAAAAACCAAACATACTAAAGAGCACACAAGGATTGTGTTTGTAACAGAATTTTTGTCGAAAAATTCATAAGCTTTTCCTTAACCCAAACTTTAATGCTCTAAACATTTCAGCGCGTGTAGTTCTCAATACGATAACTGACAAGAAAAAAAAAAAGAAAACGATTTTGAACTAATTTTTCACCTGTGATAATAATCGCTCATCAAATCGTAAACTCGTGAAATTAGGGTATAATTTTACTTGCGTTTTTAGAAGGCCAATTAATTGAGGTTCGACTGTGTCTCCTATACATTGCATGAACTTACCTTTGTAACTCCTTTTCTAGCGCCGTTTGAGGGTTGAAAAAGTTCTGTCTTTGCCAGTGTCAGTGCCCGATCAGTGTACGTCCATCCACCTGTTAGATTGACAAGGTTAATTGTTTTTCTCAACCTAATTTTAAGTTATAAACAATGAAATTTGAACACATCTAAACACGGATTACTGTTAAGGGATTATATGCAATAAGTGAAAACAATACTTTAGGCTAAAATGTCCCTCGTAGGAACTGGTACCCATTGACATATTTTTTCCTTTCCCGGTATTGTCTCAATATCTAGAAATGCATGGAAAACGAGCGCACATAATGTATATGTTGCAGTTAATTTTTTTCTTTCAGTTAAGTTTTGTTTTTCTTTTGTATTTGGGCATGGTAATGTATGCTAATGAACTTGAAACAAAGGAAAAACAAAAATTTCCTGCAACATGCACACGAAATGTTTAGGCATACATTTTCTTACATGGAAAAAAAGGTTATCTAACGTTTATCACAAGAGACACAACTTTTTCTCTTTCCATCCAGGATGATAAATGGGCACGGATGAAAAATGGGCACGGATGAAATACTCAAAGGAAAAACAAAAATTAACTGAAATTAAAAAAAAATAACCGCAACATACACACAAGCACAAGGGACACCACTTTTTCTCGGGTGAAAAACTAAATGGCGGTAACCCTGCCACTGAAAAGAATAACATTTTCCAAAGAATAAGTATTGATACTCTCAATATGGGTGCTTTAGTGTACTTGCACCAGGCGCGCATTGTCCTCATTTGAGCAAACATAAAAGAGCTTGTAGGAGACAAGTGTGAATCAATTATGCGCTCTCTCACTAGTTCATTACACATTGCAATAATGTTCAAGCTGAGCGGTTAGATATCTATAGGAATTGTGGACACCTATTTTAACAGATACTTAGTCTTGCACATAATCGAAATTTATTGACATACCCTAGACTTTCCCATTATTTAATGGACAGCTACATGAACGATGATTTTTCACTTATGAACATTTTTATTTTATAATTAAGACGTCCATAAAGCTTGTAGGATTTTTTTATTGTTTATTTTTTATGAAACTTTAACAAATCATTTTTACCCATTTTTTTTTTGCGCAAATTGTTGTGTAATTGTTACTACAAATTTTAGTCGATACTGCGGCTGGTTACGGTTTTCCGCCCAGCCAAAGCTTTTAGTTTTTACTCTGGGCATCCAGACGTTTGTACTGCCATAATGAAAAAAAACCTCGAAAAGTTTAAAGAAGGTTTGATAAACACAGCAAACACAAAGGAATGAACAGATGGACAAATTTGAAGAAGATCGAAACGGATTGTAATTGAGCTTTTTGAAAACTTGTCAGCCTAACAGTTTTTAAAAGTTCATTTTTGTTGTTTGTAACATTTGATATAATGCTTGGGAAACTTTGTCATTCACTGGTAATTTCTCCAGTTACATAGCAAATAAGGAGGCGTAACTGACAGGCAAAGGGGACTTTAAGATCCAACGACGCGACAGGAACGAGAACGTCGCTTAAAAAGTAATAAATTTGCTTTCTTACAGCCTTCATCGCGATTATTCCTTTGTCAAATGTACACGAACCCTCCTGACCAAGGGACCAGATGCAAATTCGTCGTCAGTGGGGTTACCTGAAATTAGGAATTTTTGCGTCCTAGTCGTGCACAAACGGCAAAGAAACGTACAAAAAAGCGTGCAAAGTGCAAAGTCGTTGTTTGCTTATTAAAACTTTCTTTTTTTCACACGTTCCCGTTGCCGTCAGGTCGTTGATTCTTAAAGTCCCTAAAATGAACTAGACATCCGTGACACAGCCCCTTAACGTGATGTTACACCGGACGATTCGCAACAACGATTTTTAGCGCAACTCAGCATTACAGCATTGTTGCCACTTTGTTTCGAATGGTTGCAACATTGTTCCAACATCGCAACGCTGTGTTGTGCTAAAACTCGTCGTTGCAAATCGTCTCGCGTAACATCACCTTTAAAGGTGATGTTAAACGAGACGATTCGCAACGACGATTTTTAGCGTAACATAGCGTTGCAACATTGTTGCGACATTGTTTCGAATGGCTACAATATTGTTCCAACATTGCAACACTGTGTTGCGCTAAAAATCGTCGTTGCGAATCGTCCTGTGTAACATCACCTTTAAGATTAGCACCATTTAAGGTCATATTTATATTTAGATACAATGTTATTACGGTGCAGCAACTCAGTCTGACCTCTATGCTTTATTCTATCCACAGCTTTCATGAAATCAGCCTTGTTGGAATATGCTTTCAATTTGATGTCTACATTAGCATAGGTACTGTAGCTCACTACCCCCATCTGTACTCCGTTAGGTCCAAAGTTGCTAAAGCCCTTTGCCAGCTCGGCTACAAAGTTCTTTTCTCGTCGGAAATCATCATCGCTGATACTTCCAGATTCATCCATAAGAACTCCGAGGTCTACTTTACAACCTGTCGTTGAAAACATGTCATTAGTTATTTCGTAGGTGCGTGGGGAATCTTTGGATCTGAGTGTAGCATTAACTTTCTAAGAATGTCCTCTAAACAGGCTCCTGGACACTCGACAACTGTATGAAAACTAGACTAGTAAAGGAAGATAAAGGATTTTAAATGAACGATTCATTATGAATGAATCAAAGGAAATCACAATAGAAAATTGTACAGTTCTCCGCTGTTGATTCTATTCAAGAATTGTAATCCCCCAAATGGTATCTACAGAGTGGTACTTCAGGAAGCTCGAATTCGGTTTAATCACTGTGCAAGCTGCTGCATTGTATTTTCAGCCCTCTCAGCAGTGTATGGCGTGTGCACCTTAAACAAAATGGCAGGATCGTAGTCGTAGTCTCTTCTATTCCCTATACTCATTATTTATAACAAGCAGCTACTGCGCGTTTTCACCCATGTGAGACAAATTTCTTGGGACGAGAAAATTTTTACATCAGAAAAAACACAGGATGGGTTTGGGACCCCAGCTTGGCCGCCGTTTCATTGATGTACGCCACCAATATGGCGGACGTGACGTCATATAAAACACTCTCTAAGAAAAGCATCGTGTGTAAGTAAATAGTGCAACATACATGACACAAAGGTTGATTCCGTCTGCGGCGTTGGACATGAGGTTTGAAGACCATTACAATTCGGTCTGTTCACCACGTGTGGCGTAACTTTACTACTCCTCTGTCGAGTCATACGACCACATGTAGAGGACCAGCGTGTCCAAGGATTCCACGCGCATGTCACGTACTTACATGGACCTGATTTTCGTTTGGTTAAAAAAAAAGCCAGAGAACCGTTAAGGGTGACATGACACTCATTTTTGTAAAGATAAGCTGTCTGCCCAAAAGTTTGCAAATTTCCTCTTTCCGAGCGTCATTAAAACTTTCCTACAACTAAGCTAAAGAAAAAAATGAAACAAGTAAAACATTTTGTTATCAAAAAAATTGAATCATCACTCTGAAATAGTCGTCACTAAATTAGCGGAGAGAACTAAAGTTATGAGCCTTCCGCTCCGCTCGAGCCTCGTTGACGATGGATTGAACATGTCACGTGACTTTTGACTTGATCAGTCTGAACCAGTTTGCTGAGAGGTTTTATGATCTTCCCTATACAAGGTATTTTGAAGCAAACGCTATTAGATTTGTATTAAATGAAAAAAAAAACTTCTAGCTTCAACACAAGACATTGGGGAGCTTAAGCAACGACGATAGTACAGTATAGCTATGATATGCGTTTGAGTTTTTTTTTTCCGATTTTTGGCGTGCTGGGGAAGCAAAACGAGAATTACTCACATTGGGTGTTTTTAGTTTCCAACTGCTCCTTTTCACATGTTGTAGTTAGGCCTGAACAGCCTCCTTGTTGTTCTTTGATACGCTCGGTCTGCTTGCTTAACCTTCGCACCCTTTTCATTCCACTGCCGCAAGAGCTGGACCACTCCGACCAACCGGTGTATTCACATGTCACATAAAAACACTGGTATTCTGTAAAAAAGAAATGATCAAAGAAAACAAAAAAAAAATGTAGTTGAAATAATTCAACAACGCCAAGAGTTCACAACGAAAATTCAAAAAAAAAGCAGCGTCTTTTAAAACCTTTTAGTCATAAAGCTACAATGGAAGCATTTTGTCTTGTAATCTGGTTGTGTAATGTTTTTAATTGCGAGGCAGGGATTTTCAACTGCAATCTCTGCTATTGCAATTGGTTGAACTACACTAACTAACAAAGCATTTCTTCCATCATTAAGTCATTAATTTTTGAGTCAAATTTCCACCTATCTACTGGTTTACGGTTTAAGTCACAAATTCGTCGTTATCCTTTGGATAAGGTTCCTTCGAAATGTTTTCTAAGAAATCTCTTTCTCAAGCTGCAGAATGGCGGTTACAAAGTAAATAAAAAATCGTTTGCACCGGCTAAAAGGAAAAATTTCTGATCTGAACAAAACCAGGAAACGAGATAATTCTGCATGTCTGTCTTTTTATTTGACACATACCGTAAGCCCCCCCAACTTATCACCCCCCCCCCCTCCTCTCCCCTTGTTATAGGCTTATCTACCTAATCACAGAAAAATGTATCCGATAGTATCAACCTCCGGGGATATACGCTCTAACTCTAGCTTGTTTTCAAATGAATTCGATTTTTTTTGCGCACTTCCCTTACAAAGTTGTATAAGTCCAAGCCTTATAAGCGGAAGTTTGTAAATGAAGACAGGGGCAAACAGAATGCCACTGTTTCACTTCATCTCCTTTTACTTACTCTTGCAAGAAGATTCACCGATCCGTTGCAGAAGAGTCTGTAGTTCCTGCATAGTGGCAACATAGAAAACGTGATCCTTAACCGGAGCTGACGCCATCATC